ACCGCAACAACTTCATGCCGTTATTATTGAGGTCGCTAGGGCCGTTTTTCCCAATCACGCCGTTCCACTTGTCAACGTCTACTCCGAGGTGTTCATTAAAATTGCCCATCAGTATGAGGGACTCTGTATTCGGCACTTCAGACAGAGCACACTGCACTTACTCAAGGAAGTCAAGATATATTTAAATAAAGTTTTCTACCTTTGTCTGGAATTCACAAAAGTTACGCCATGAACTGAAAGAAACTCTTTCATCTCTGTTAATGACACTGGGTCTTGTCTGAATTAAGAGTTCTAAGGCAAATAAGGGCTTCTTGTAGCTCCTAAATGTTACCAAGGTTGGGCAGTTATCTGTGTTCCTACTGATCCACGACGTAAATTACAGTGAATTGGACCTCGTACGATGCAGTACCATTGATGTCCTAAAGTGAATAAGTTTTCTGATTCCGCGATTGGCAGCATGAGAATCGAAGCAGTATTCTTTATACTTACGATTCAGTTCTAGCGATAAAGTACTTTACGATTCAAAGGCTTCGATCGAAAAACCATCGATTATAAAGTTTCTTCTTCGATATGATTGTAACTATACAGTATTCTCGTGCTTCTGTACATCGAATCAGAAAACGTATTAGCTACTTTTAGGTAACACATTGGCGATTACCCTGGGTTAAGTCAGCGCCTTTGCTTAAGTTGTCGAGAAAATTAGCACTCCAGTTCTAAACTGATGAAATAGTCTTTACACAGTTTCGACTTTTGTTTTTGTTTCACTGAGTCTCGTTTCCTCACGGACACGTGACGACTACTAGCTTTATGTGTTACTTTCAAAAATGGAGATACGTTTATGCTGATAAATGATTTCATGCCGGTATAGACTAACAATTCGTTATTCAGTCCGTTGTGTTGTGTGTTATTCTGATCGTTGCCTTGAGCCATTTGCTTAAGCAGAACGTTTCCGGTTTTAATGCCTCTTATATTTGTAAGTTTTCAATGCTTTTGCTATAAGGCACCGGTTACTGCCTTGTAGATAGAAAAATTCTTATCCGAATGCAGATTTGCCCCTACTTTGCTCCTCCATGTTACGTGCTGGTCTCATCGTCAAGGTCAGCTGTTTCGACTCCCACACGACATGTTAATAGGCTAGAGCAAATGCTTTATGTTCTGTCATTTTGTCTAATACGGCCAACCTCCTCTTCTTAATCGTCGCATCTTCTAAGATCACCTAAGCCCGGAAGGGAATGAAGTCATTCCTTACATGGTCCTGCGAATTTCCTCTCATGTGTCGAAGCAAACGCTACTGCACGCAGTTTATCAATCGTTATTAGTTCGTCATTGGAATTGTCTCCATGCCGTATAACAACACTGACTTGACAGAGAGAAGGTCCAGACAGGATTTCATGGGAAGAACAGCCACTTTGTCAGCCCAAACATTGGTCAGGTTTACAAATCTACTTCAAGCTTCGGCAGTCCTTCTTTTTAGCTCTGACAAGATTGTACCATTGCTGGAAACGATCGGGCCGAGTTACATAAGCGGCTCAACATCCAACATTGCTTACTGTCCCTTTTCCATTTATATACGAGCTATGTCGAATGGATTCCTCATAACTTTTGACTGCTGGGGGTTCATGAAGATGTCCGTTTTTTCAGCTGTGTCGCATATGGAAGCTGTGAGGTGACATAACTCACCTTCCGTTCTACTCATTGGGATAGTATCGTCTGCGTATTCCAAATGATCAAGATACGTAGGCTGATATCTTGAACTCTGCCTTCTGCCTAGAATGAGACCTTCGTCTCTGGCAGGATCAGCACTGATCATTCGAAGAAAAAATCGAGAACAGTGTTGAACAGCAATGGTGAAAGCACATCTTCTTGGCGAGCTTCTCAGCTTGTAGGGAAGCATTCAGACATCTCCTCTTCAATTTTGACAGCATGCGTAATTCCTATATATGCCTGCTGCAAAATGGAAATGAACTGCTGAGATGTCCCATCGCATTTCAAAATTTTCCACCAATCCAGCTTTAAAGTCCAGGTAATTTGCAAACTAAAGCAACTGGAATCGTTGCAATGCTTCCTGATTATATGTAGAGTGAAAATTTGCTCCGAGAGGGGAGCCTCATCCGGAAGATTGCTTAATTCAGTCGAAATTTCCCATCAATTGCTTGCGTCCGCTTTTGCAAGATAATCCCGGCGAAAATATCCCCGCGAGTTATCAATAATGTGGTCCCACGATAAATGTCGCCAGATCTCTTTTAAATATGAAGACCATTTCTTTATACTTCCATTCTCGATGGAAACGTTTCGAGGTCAACATTTGATGGGATGCGTAGAGATTGTAATCGATTTTCGATTCTCTCTTAGCCGATAACATTGCGGCTTTACTGGGTTATTATAAGCCCACCGAAACTCACGTCCAAGGACCCGATGATTCGTAATCATTTTGCCGGCCACAGAAGTTTTTTTCGGAGCTTCTTTGTGTAAGTGTCTTCATCAGCCTCCATTAAAGTATTCTGAAGATTCGTGCATCAGAATCTTAGTTTCCGTTCTATTTTATGTTTTTTAGGTTATAGGGTTTAAAAAGATTGTTCATGGAAAAGTAACGAAACAGATTTATAGACTTGGAAATATCGGCTTTCCTCATTTTACTAGCTGGACATATTCATTATGGTGGTGGGCTCATTTTTTTCCTCGTGCGGTGCTTATCCCCCTTCATCAGTCAAAAGTGTTTTATTGTTTTGAACGCAGTAATTACGGTCAGATGACCCGAGAGCGTGTAGTTTACTGCTTCGATAAACCTGAATAATTTTATGAAATTTGTTTATTTCTTGTCCTCAATTTTAACTAGCTATCACGTGGGCCAAGGCGCATTCATCACATGCCCTGCTATCCGTGTAATTCGCAGACCAAAGACCTGCAACCCATTTTTCGGTTTGTTGTACCGAAGCGCAGTGAGGTGAATTTCTCTTTCAATGGACTTAGCAATTGATCCGAGAAAATGTACGCAGCGTGTTGAGTTTGAACCATACACTCTAATGCACAGCGCAGCCTATAAGCCATATTCCTCAACTGCCTCCTGCATTGCTCAATTGGTTGCATTTCTTATTTATGGTCACAGTTTTGTGCCAACTTTGTAGCCTGAAGATTCTTCCTTTTAATTATATTAGAAAAAATAATGCGGCATACATGTATCTAGCCATAGAGTAGCCTGTTGAAATTTTTTAATTTTCTGTTTTTAGGCGTTAAAAGTTGCATTTCTGTAAGAGAAATGTTTTTAGTTCTGTGAAATCCTGTGTAAGTTTTTAGTCCTGTGTAAGATCCTGTGAAACTGCTCCGAGATGAAAATTTCCGGCTTAAACATGAATATTTCACATCGAAAAAATCGAGCAGAAATTTAAGGCTATAAATACACAAAATAAAACTGTCATCAGTACAATCCAAAGTAAAGAAAAATTGATTAAAAATTTAGCGAATCAGTTATCAGAAATAGGTTTAGTTAGCTGTTTACTGCTGCACTAAAAGTCGCAGACGTCCGTAGCTTCTATTTATTAAAATGGAAGGAAATTTGCCGCCTTTAATAAGTTGTAGATGAATTGGCAGTGATTCATTGACGTTGCGGAACGAACCATTTTATTCGTTGGCTTTGTTTGCAGTGAAAGTCTGGTAGTTATTTCTCATGCTTGGCTTGACGGATTGGAAAAATTGAGTAAATCGCTTTGATTATTGTTGAGACGCTTTAGCGGATTTTGATTTTGCCAGTCATTGATCAAAATTTTACCTTGTTGTTAGCGGTGAATGTAAAGTGCAGTATTTGTACAACATTGCACTCATTGTCATGTAGTGTACTCCATTTTAAGCTCGTTGTATGACGGTAGTTTTTACTCTCCGCTAGTGCTATTAATTTTTGCATTTTATTTGTCTATTCTAGTTATGTTTGTGAAGTAAGGGAACTGTCATAAACAGTGTGTTGTGAGATGATGTTTTAATTCGTTCTGCATTAAGCTGACGCCGTCAGTTCGCTTACGTCAGCCGTCTAATGTCTGAATCCAGTCATTCATTTAGAACTCGCCAAGAACCTTGCGATCATACCTGCACTGTCCCCAGCTTTTGTTGCATATCCCGTTCAATGGTACGCATCGTAACGTCAATGAAGTACCGGAGTCTTTTCTGGCGATGACGTAAGCAACTTGGCATACGCCACTAAACGAGGTATGCGTACTTGAGCCCAGTTTTGAATTTAATTTAAAAATTTTGTTTTAGTATGTGAGCTGATTTGCGGTAAGTATGCATCACGAGGAGTTGGCACCGCATGTTAATACAAGCCTTTATAACGGTGCTGAACGAAATGGTATTTTTGCGCTGCAACCGGAAATCATCTGAGCTGAAGAAAGATCTGGTCACTCGGCACTGATTATTAGATCCGTGGTTAACCGGTTGTAGGTGAACAAGTTGCTCTAGAGGCGGGAAGCGTTTGATCGTCACCAATGAGTGACCAGACCTGCAGCGGTTTGATTCGCACGGATGACGGCTCATACAGCATCGCCGCCTATTGGAAGTACCATCTGTTTTTGCTGCAGGAGAACGCTCCAAAGCCGCGGCCGTTGCTGTGCAATGGGTTGCCCAAGGCGGTTACGGCTTCGAACCGGCCGCCGTTCTACGGGTTGGAGTTCCATGGACCGATCAGCCGCGAGAAGGCCGACGAGTTGCTGGCGGCTAGCGGCGAGGGCAGCTACTTGGTACGTGAAAGCCGTCGAGCCGAGAACTCGTTCACACTGTGTATCCGCTTCGACGGCTTCACTAAGAATTACAAGCTGTTCTACGATGGCCAGCACTACGTCGGCGAAAAGCGCTTCGACAACGTGAACGACTTGGTCGCTGACGGCCTCATAACGATGTACGTCGAGAAACACGCCTCAGAGTATATCAAACGCATGTCTGAAGAGACGGTGTACGACGAATCGCCATACAACCAGTACCAAAAGATGCGTCGGAAGCTGAAGAGTCTGAAGAATCAACAGCACTCGCCCGAAATTTCAATGACAGGTGTGCTGATCAACTGTCATGTTACGGGGGCGATTATAATTTTTTATCATCATAACTGTGATCAGTATCAACTGCATCAATTTGACTGTTATGGTGGTATTCATCGTTTTCATAGCGATTGTTATTATGATTATCATAGTTGCAGTCGTCACTCTGATCGTCGTTATCATGATAATAATCATCATAATCAAAATGTTCCTCGCTTTCGCTTTGCTGCGTGATAACGATGATCATCATCGTTTATGTCGGGGAACTTATGGTCATAGTGCCAGCTTATGATCTTGGTCTTGATCCGCGCTTATCGTTATAATCATGATGGTCGCCTTAGCCATGATAAAAGTCACCGTCGTTGTCATAATCATAAGTATTTCTCTGATTATCACGATGGGCATTATGATCGTCATCATTTGCATTGTTATCATTGTAACGCCTGCTTTCTCGGGGTCAGACGATCTGCATCGCATTCGCGTTGAAGCTAGGCCGGTGAGAATGCACCAGATGGCCGAGCGTTTATTGTGCAGGTTGACTTCTGGTTTGTCGAAGGTCCAATGACCCCAAATCAGAAGTTCAATACCCCAAATTTTTCTCCAATTCCTTTTCACCTAACTGCCTGAAATGGGGGGAACGGGCCCCAGCCAATAGTCCGCTTCGCTTGACAAGTTCCTTTCTGGAGTACTTTCTGTCATTTTTAATTGCTGTAGGATCATCTTTCTAACGACGTCGTTACATCATTATGGTCAGCTTAATCAGTTATGGTCGCGTCGGTCTTCATTGAAGCAACCATCGTTACATTATAATTATTATGATTATACCATGATTATAGTATCGCCATTATGACTGTTATCCTCCTGATCATTGCCCATCAAAATATGTTAGAGTATATTAGATGGCGCATAACTCTTCTCGTAAAATCTGACCTTCATGAGGCTTATGAGCCAATTATCACTATCATAATTTTAATATTTGCATGACAATTATCGGAGTTATTACGACCAACATGAAGGTGGTCATTTTCTTAAGAAAGGTCGCCAAAACCATAATCAGTGTCACATTCATCGTGTTTAACATGATCATTGTCATCACGGTAGTCATAACTGCAATCATCAGCGGTTATAGCTACTGTCGACATCATTGCCGTTTTCGTGTCCGTGTTAATCGCCACCTCTGTGTCGTTTTCATCATCACTAATCGTCATTCTCAATTGTTAATGTTTTATCAATAACACCCTCCTGAGCATAATCATTGTCACTCAGATGAGTATACTAAATCAAAGAATCTAGCTTTGCATCGAAAATATACGCAGTTGAGACAAGAAAATTTGTTGAACTAAAAGGAACAAGTGAAACCATGTCTAGTTTGTGAGGAAAGCCAAGATCGAGATGTTGGACAAGTCAAATCGCATATAAAAATAGAATCTGTTTGGTGTTCAGTTCTCGTGCGTTTCGGAATTATAAACTCTAGCATATAGCAGAACTGTCAAGGTGGGAGTCAAAGATTTGAAGTATTAGAATGACTTGTAACAACAGCGAATTACTGATGGATTTCATGATGAAACTGGAGCATTACCAGGTTGCAGAGTGAAGTATGGCTTGTCCCGGTTCGGCAGCATGTCTGGTAAGTAGCGGCATATACTTTTTGCGTTATACGGCTATTGTAAGTTTTTGAGACATTTTTCAGTCAACCTCGTTATTGGGTTATTTACCGAGTCCACACCATTTTTGCGACTGCTTCTTCGTCAAACTCTCTGCTTATTTCGCAGCTAACCTTCTGTTTGAAGGTTCTATCCACAACCGACAAACGCAATCAACGACTTCCTATGGCAAAATAATTTAATCGAAAAATTAATGGTCTTAATGATCGTAGTTGTCATCAAGATCATGATTATCATTGGTGGTATTACCGTAGTTGTCATTGAATTCCTATGATTTTCTTGCGATCCCTATGATTCTCGTTATTATGATCACCTTGGTAGCTGGGTGTCTTA